CTCCCGGCTGGAGTGGGGGGCCAGACTGGGGAGGACGGGGCTCCTAGCTGTGCTGGGGGCGTGGCAGGCTGGGGTGCAGGGCTCCTGGCTGTGCTGGGGGGTGGCAGGCTGGGGTGCAGGGCTCCTGGCTGTGCTGGGGGGTGGCAGGCTGGGGGGCCGGGGCTCCTGGCTGTGCTGGGGGGGCAGCAGGCTGGGGGGGCGGGGCTCCTGGCTGTGCTGGGGGGGCAGCAGGCTGGGGGGGGCTCCTGGCCGTGCTGGGGGGGGTGCAGAGGGCTCCTGTCCCGAATCTTTCTCCTGGGGAAGGGGAGCTGTGAGAATATTCCTGGGGCCCATGCTGGGAGGAGTGCGGGCACACGTCTGCCCCTCGCCCAGCTGGGCACCATGCAGGGCCCAGACGAGTGGCCTGGGTTTCTCTCTGCAGGACGTGAACGACAACGCGCCCGTGTTCCTCAACGAGTCCTACGCGTTCTCTGTGCGGGAGGGCCTGTCAGGTACGGGGGCCGCCTGGCCGGGTGCGCACTTGTGGGGCGCATTGAATACCAGCAACAGGCCAACGGGGTCTGGGCAGGGCTGACTGAGTGGGGAGGCAGGGGGCACTGTCAGTCCAGTGGTGGGGTGGGGAGAGGTGGGGGGCAGGCAGGGGGCAGTGTGGAGCGCGGGCAGGACAGCGGCAGGGCAGGGGTGGGGGCACCAGGGGGCGCAGTCAGTCCAGCGGCACGGCAGGGGCAGCATGGGCGTGGTCAGTCCAGAGGCAGGGAGTACCAGGGAGCGCGCTCAGTCCAGCGGCAGGACAGGGGTGGGCAGGGGGCACCAGGGGGCACGGGCAGTCCAGCGGCAGGGCAGGGGCGGGCAGGGGCAGCGTGGCTGTGGTCAGTCCGGCGGCAGGGCAGGGGCAGCGTGGCTGTGGTCAGTCCGGCGGCAGGGCAGGGGCAGCGTGGGTGTGGTCAGTCCAGCGGCAGGGCAGGGGCGGCGTGGATGTGGTCAGTCCGGTGGCAGGGCCGTGGCGCCGCTCACCGGTTTCCCCGTCCCCAGGCGCCTTCGTGGGCAGCGTGGAGGCGGAGGACGCGGACCAGACCGAGGTCCATCACCGAATCTCCTTCCAGTTGGTCAGCAGCACCGGCTCCAGCAACTTCCTGCTGCGCTCCATCCGCCTGGGCCCTGGGCACTACCAGGGCAACCTGTCCCTGGACCCCGACGTGGCGCTGGACTACGACCGGCTCAGTCCGGCGCGCTTCACCCTGACGGTGCAGGCGGAGAACACGGGCACCGGCGACGCCCTCAACGCGGTGCCCTGTACGGTGCAGGTGCAGGTGCTGGACGTGAACGATGAGCCGCCCACCCTGGTGCCGGCCTCGCCGCAGGACGTGAGCGTGGCCGAGGACGCCAAGCCAGGGCTGCTCACTACCCTGCAGGCCTCCGACCTGGACACCAACCACTCGCTGCACTTCCAGGAGCTGGGCCTGGCCTGCTACAAGGGCGCGGGGACCGCAGGCCGCGTGTGCCAGGACTGGTTCTACCTGGAGCCCAACGGCTCCGTCTTCCTCAACAGCTCGCAGCTCGACTACGAGGCCTGCGACCGGGTGACCATCGCCCTGCGTGTGGAGGACACACACACCGAGGAGGGCAACCCCTACAGCAACAACGGTGGGGCTGGCCCCACAACCTCGTCTCCCGCTGCCCCCCACGTGACGCTGGCTGTCCCAGCCTCGCCCAGCGGGGGGCACCGTGGGGAGCGGGGTGCTGGCTGAGGGGGGTGTTCCGGATACGCTGTCCCAGCCTCGCCCAGCAGGGGGCGCTGTGGGGAGCGGGGTGCTGGCTGAGGGGGGTGTTCCGGATACTCTGTCCCTGGCCTCGCCCAGCAGGGGGCGCTGTGGGGAGCGGGGTGCTGGCTGAGGGGGTGATCCCAGATACTCTGTCCCAGCCTCGCCCAGCAGGGGGTGCTGTGGGGAGCGGGGTGCTGGCTGAGGGGGGTGTTCCGGATACTCTGTCCCTGGCCTCGCCCAGCAGGGGGTGCTGTGGGGAGCGGGGTGCTGGCTGAGGGGGGTGTTCCGGATAAGCTGTCCCGGTCTCGGCCAGCCGGGGGCACC